GAGGCAAAACTCATGTTGAAGGTTCAACATAGAAAGAGCAACTACTTTATTAAACACAGGACATTCACTTTAGAGACACTTGGAGGGATACAACCCCTCCCCCCCTCCCCCTCATGACACACACAGATAACAGATTACACAGTGAATCAGACATTTAAATACACAGTCAAACAGTACAATAGGGTGAGCATCAGATAACAGGTGAGGGGGGAGCTATGCGACTTATATACAACTGACTTAACTTAATTAAGTCTCCATTTTGACTAGACAAACCATGTGGCCAAATCCTTGTCCTCCACCATTTTAAAACATTTATTTCCCAGAGGTCAACAGTCACTGTCTGCATATAAAATGTACATTTAGCCCCAAAATCTCCTGTTCTCTTGCTGGGCCATATTAGGTGGGTACGAGGCCAGCCTGCAGCCCCCTCCAGCTAGCACAGTGACGGTGCAGTCCGTCACAAGTATGTCACAGTATATGTTGGCATTCATGGTTCCCTCAATGAACCCCCAGTGCCGGCAGCACTCATGCAGCCCCAGACCATGACACTCCCACCACCATGCTTGACTGTAGGCAAGACATACTTGTCTTTGTACTCCTCACCTGGTTGCCGCCACACACGCTTGGCACCATCTGAACCAAATAAGTTTATCTTGGTCTCATCAGACCACAGGACATGGTTCCAGTAATCCATGTCCTTAGTCTGCTTGTCTTCAGCAAACTGTTAGTGGGCTTCCTTGTGCATCATCTTTAGAAGAGGCTTCCTTCTGAGACGACAGCCATGCAGACCAATTTGATGCAGTGTGCGGTGTATGGTCTGAGCACTGACAGGCTGACCCCCCCACCCCTTCAACCTCTGCAGCAATGCTGGCAGCACTCATACATCTATTTCCCAAAGACAACCTCTGGATATGACGCTGAGCACTTGCACTCAACTTCTTTGGTCGACCATGGCGAGGTCTGTTCTGAGTGGAACCTGTCCTGTTAAACCGCTGCATGGTCTTGGCCACCATGCTGCAGCTCAGTTTCTGGGTCTTGGCATACTTCTTATAGCCTAGGCCATCTTTATGTAGAGCAACAATTCTTTTTTTCAGATCCTCAGAGAGTTCTTTGCCATGATGTGCCATGTTGAACTTCCAGTGACCAGTATGAGAGAGTGAGAGCGATAACACCAAATTTAACACACCTGCTCCCAATTCACACCTGAGACCTTGTAACACTAACGAGTCACATGACACCGGGGAGGGAAAATGGCTAATTGGGCCCAATTTGGACATTTTCACTTAGGGGTGTACTCACTTTTGTTGCCAGCGGTTTAGACATTAATGGCTGTGTGTTATTTTGAGGGGACAGCAAATGCACATTGATATACAAGCTGTACACTCACTACTTTACATTGTAGCAAAGTGTAATTTCTTGAGTGTTGTCACATGAAATGATATAATAAAATATTTACAAAAATGTGAGGGGTGTACTCACTGCTGTGAGATACTGTATTAACCTGATAGACCTGTGTCTTTATTCAACCTCACCTACTTTGTAACTATATCTAACAAATGACCTTTAAAATATATCTGATGTAATAGTCATCATCGGCAATCCTGAACTACAGGGAATGCAACAAAAGAAAAAAGTACCCTGGTTCAAGGACTCTACAAATTCCCCTCCCTTTCAACCCTTTAAAGAAAAAACACCATCTGTATCTCATTTCACAAATATCCCAAAAGCAACCATTAACTTTTATTCCCATTGAAAGACATACAATATTAAAAACCATGGTGCTACAAACACATAATATAAAACAAACCACACCCACATTTCCATAGGGACTCTAACAAATTTGCTCTCCATAAACAGTAATTCCAACATAGAATACCCCAATATTGCTTTTATTCCATGGGAAACAACCAATGTTGCTTTTAAGTGACGGTTCAATGGTATTTTCACTGGGACTTTTCCTCATTCATCAGGTGCGTCGGACAGCAATAGTGATATCTGCAAGGATGTGTCCTAACATCAACATGACACATTTATGGAACACAGCAGCCATACCCAAAAATAAAAACTGCCAAGTAGTGCCTATAATGTGTTAAATTGAGGAATAAAAATACCATCTGGTGTTGCTCACATTTACACTGGCCATGTGAGACAAAAACCACGTTGAAATATAAGGAATAAAATAGGCTCCGACAGGACCAAGCTACGGAGCATGACTACAGAAATTAAACTTTCTGCTTATGAAGGGATCGCAATATACAAATTTATCAATAGAGATTGCAGTATTGGGAATAACCTGTTTAAACTATGGAACCTGAAGAAAACATGTGGCCACAACATGAATTTGGATGAGAAGCAGTTTATTTTAAACTTAAGGTTTTTTTTTGTATTGTCAGAGCAGTAATTCCCTTCTGCAGTTAGTGGTATCAACAGAGAAACATTTAGAAGAGAGTTTTTATACAGGGGTATGAAAGTCCGTAGTGACACACACATATATTGGTTGTACAATTTATTTGTTGAGGACCTTTAGGCCCAATATAAGGGCCTCCCTTTGCCTTGGGAAAGGTAAACAAGTTTGAACAGCCAAAAACAGTGAAACGGACTGTGGAGCAGCAAGGGAAAACACTGCCTTGTCCCACCATAGCGTGGACATGCGCCATAGCATCCCTAAGGAAAGTTTGTGGTTTTGCAGTGCGGGAACCCACACATGAACAGTGGCGGAAAACTATGGTGAACAATTTTAAAAATGCTAACTTGCATGGTTCCCACTGCAGTTGCAGAAGGTGGGGAGGATGCTGGGTGTTGCAGCTGGACCTACAGTTGCAACATTCGGATCCCATAAAAAAAAACAGCAGTCCCCACTCCTCCTCCTTTCCTTCACCCCTCCCTCCAGCAATGTTCTGCCCAAAGATTAAGGGGAGCAAGGAAGATTAGTCAAGAAGAGGCCCTCAGGCAACACCAAACTACCAAGGATCCATCGTCAGTTTTCAGCAGAGAAGGAAATGACTGGTGACATTATTGACCTTAAATGGCCACATGTCATTGACCAAATATGACCAGGCCAATGATGTCACCAGCATCCCTCCATTTGTTCATGTGCAGCAGCAGGGTGGGAAATGCCCTGGCTGCAGCTTGGGCCAGCACTGACAGCTTCTTTTTGGGTTTGAACCCAAGCTCATCCCTACCCGAGTATGAACTAATAGGATCCTAAGAGTTCCCATCTGAGTGTCCAGGTATCTCAAGATCTGGTCAATCCGGAACCTTACACTCACTAGAGCTTTGCAAAGTTAGAATCAAACCTGTCTGCCAGTCAGTTGCTTGACAGTAGAATAGTGTAGAAGAAGTTAACAACTCCAGGGTCTGATTCTTACTCCTTGACAATAGGTGAAAAACTATCTCTGCCAATGGCAGGCTTTAGCCACTAAGTGATTATATGCCACTAGTTGCTTTTTTTGTTACACTAAGCTACCTACTTCTGTATATGGCACTACAACCCACTGGTTCTGTTTGATCTTCAATTAAAGGGCTGTCTCTCTAAGTGAACTAAATAAACATGTACATTATAGCATACCACCAGCCAAAAACAAGATAAAATGAATAACTCAGTTCAGAGAAATCTGTCACTAGATATTGGCATTTTGGAAAGGAAAAGCAACACATTGACAAGCTAATCACTCCTTTGATGTGCCAATGTTCTTTTCCTATCTGCCTTTTGTCAGTACTGCTTCTTCCTCACACTCTATCCCTGCTGGACAGACAGCAAGATGCTGGTACCTGGCCTAATTCAGGTACTTACACCACTTCAATTTAAAATATACATTTAAGGATGTATAAATAACTACAAAACTGCATTTTTTTGTGCCTATTTTATGTGACTAGAGTTTAGCTTTAATAAAAATAGTTATATTTTAATGTATTAACCTTTATCATAAAAGGTGCATTATTCTCATGCATTCCAAAATAATATAGCTGCAGAGACAAAAAAAAATACCTTTGCCTTGTAGCCTTTCTTCACATTGGATCTTTGTATTTTCAGAATGAGCAGCAGGGTTGGTTGTTTGCTTCTCAAGGCCTGTGGTCTTCGGCTTTCTCACAAGGCTTGACATTTTCTGATGACTATGAAGTCTGCTCCTTTTGCTCTCCAATTTGTCACTGCAGAGCTTGGTCTTGTAAAATATATGGTTAAATATCTTTAAGTAATTATGCCTTGCTTGATGTGATTACAGTGACAGACATTAAATCTTAAAAATGCATTCAAGTACCTTACCTATTAACAATACTGTACCTTATTTGTGTATCACTCAGCTGTAGACCCTCAAATCATCTCTGAATTGGTCAATACGGTCCTTCCTTCTGGAAGGTGGCTACTTTTGTTCCCCATGCTCCTAGTAGTGTGTGCTGCAAAGCAGCTACCGCTCCAAGCTCGCTCCTGTGATGGACTACGACCTTACATTTAGTTCACTGATTTGTATTGAGGTTGTAGTCAATCACGGGAGCAAGCTTGGAGCGGTGGCTATTTTGCAACACACACAGGGACCATGGGGAACAAAAGTATTTGCCCGCCAGAAGGAAGGACAGTGTTAGTACGAATTCGGAGGTGACTTGAGGATCTACAGCTGAGTGATACACAAATAAGGTACAGCATTGTTAAAAGTTGTTTAACTCCTCAGTTTAGTGCCACTTTAAATGGTAAACAAACACACACACACACACACACACATTACACATACATATACTGTATATATACATATACACACACACACACACACACACACACACACACACAGTAGGCCAGCCAGTAGGCTGTAAATTCAGTTGATTAAACCACAGAAAAGTAAAAAGATACATGAAATGTGTTTACATCAGTATGAAACAATACTTTTGAAAGCAGAAAACCTGTCACTGGAAGTAAGAAAAGTAAAGCCCAAACCACCCAGATCTTATCCTAAGGGCCTGTTCACACCATATGCAGTGCGTTCCGGCCATGTTCTGGCCGGAACGCAGTGCATCGCGGCCGGAGGGGGCGTGGCTGGCCATTGAAGTGAATGGCGCCGTAGCCACGCCCTCCAGCCGCAATGCAATCACCCGCACGGGATCGCAAGGCACATTGTGCCTGCGGTCCGGTGCGGTCAAAATGTGGGAAGCACTATTTAGACCGCAACAGACCGCAGGCACAATGTGCCTTGCGATCCCGTGCGGGCGATTGCATTATGGCACCATACACCTCAATGGCCAGCCACGCTCCCTCCGGCCCCACGAAATACTGAGCCGATGCAGTGCGTTTCAGCTGGAACGTGGCCTGAACGTACTGCATATGGTGTGAACAGGCCCTAAGAACACAAGATTACTCTTGCAAAATTAATAGGAAAACCAAAAGACATAGATTTCCCAGATAAGCACAATGTGGTTATATTGATATACTACAGGCTTCACAGAGAGCAAAGGTCTGCATCAAGTGTAATCCTAAAAACCCTTAATAATACAGTACTGGATGTGTTCCCTTTATATGCACACAGATTTTCTATGTTTAGTTTCCCTCAACAGCCTCCCTATTAGGGCCCCCTTCGACCCCCAGGCCTTATAGCAGATTTGCAGGAGCAAATTAGGGGTTCTGAATTAATTGTAAAAAAAGTGTTGAATACTTTTCTTTTTTTAAGAGTCAGTTACTCATTGTTAAGGGTTCACAAACCAGAGGAAAATGTATGAATATGGGTAAACAACTTGTTGAAACATAGATAACAAAGGGTAGGTGTTAATGGAACATACAGATAACACATCATTACCCAGGGAGTGAGTGTGGGGTACCAAGTCCCAAATTGGATACAATAACACAATAATTAAAGAATGGGCTTTTTAGGTACCCACATGACAGCACAACAATAGGTACTTTAAAACATGTAACTTCTTTATTCATATATAAAAACAGATTAAAAAAACAAATATATGATGTGATGTGGCAAATATGTACTGAACTGATCACTAAGGATGCAACGCTACTAGTTCGTTACCAATACCGAGTACCTGGGCAACTACTCGTACTCACCCAAATGCTCCGATACTTACACCCGATACCGGAACTGCCGGTCAGAGGGTGATTTCCTCTGACCAGCAGTGCATCGAGGGAACATGAAGCAACTTGTCTTCATTCAGGTGGAACATTGATGCCACTTTCATCAACAATGAGAGTCTTGGAAGCCAGACAATTTTATTCTTACAAAGCACCAAAAATGGAGACTTCCAGGACAACGCCACCCCTTCAGATACCCTGCATGCCAATGTGATGGCCACTAGGAAAGCCACTTTCTGCAGTAATGTCAGCAGTGGTAAAAACAACTGCACTGACTGATTGCAGCTCCTGTCCTCCTGTTTTCAGCCAGCAACACACACAGAGCAAAATTGCCCTAACATGGCACACAGTTGTAGCTCATCTCATTGCTGTTCAGTTGTTTCCTAAAGTCGCAGAGGCCCCAAAGCCACAGCAGTAACCCATTAAGGAAACACTGGAGCCTCCATAGACCCTATACATAAACCCCCAGTACAAGGAGGAGGGGGATGGGCTAGAAAGGGTACGGGATTGTCAGCCAGACCCTGTGCATGTGCAGTGTGTGGTCGTGCTGGCAGTGACATCAGACGCGTGTCTGGGAATGCCACGGCTGGGGGAATACACAAACAGGCTGGCGATGGTCCCAGTTCTTTCTGGCAGTGTATATATGGGAAGGGGAACGTAAGGTAAGGTCCTGTTTTTTACATTAGTGATAATTATACAGGATTATTATATTAAGCATTCGTTGCATATGGTATTCATTTGATGAACATTAGGGAAATACCAGTACTAGTATCGGTACCAATATTGAGTATTTGGCCGAGTACCCAAATGCTCCGATACTGGAACTTCCGGTCAGGGGGAGATCTCCCTCAGAATTGCAGTGCTGACTTCCTTTCAAATCAGGAAGCCGGGCGGCACATAATGACCCGCCTCCCAACTTCCTGAATGGTCAGGGAGCCAGGCTGCCTAGGAACAAGTGAAGCAGTTTCCTAGCCAATCATGAAGGCAGGAGGCGGGTCTGGACATGCCGCCCGGCTTCCTGATTGGCTAGGAAGCCAGCTTCACTTGTTGCTAGACAGCCTGGCTACCTAACCAATCAAGAAGCTGGGCAGCTCGTAATGACCCGCCTGCCAGCTTCCTGGCTGGAAGCCAGGCAGCCTCGGCAAGTGAAGCCCGATTTCCTGATATCGGGGCACACGGCAATTGGATTCTGTATCAGCGAGTGCCAAAAAACGAATATCGGTACTCGTAACCAAAAAAACTGTATCGGTGCATCCCTAGTTAAAATCCTTTGCAGTATCTCTCAATGCTACTGCTGAGGCTATCCACACCCTAAGGGATTTAAGACAACCATGTCCAACTGCTTAACTGGGACAAGTGGACAGGTAGCGTGGATTTATAATTAAAAGGGTATTTATGGTCAAACCTGGTGGCCACCTGGTGCCGGCTTCCTGGCTTATCAGGAAGCCGGGTGGCAAGTCATTAGACGCCATCTGGCTTCCTAAATGGGACTTCCGGTATCGGTATTCAGTATTAGCGTACTGGAAAAAAATATCAGTACTTTTTTTTTTTAAACGTTTTTTTTTTAAACCAAAAACCGGTATCGGTGCATCCCTAGTCATAACCTAACAAATATGTATTTCTATATTGAATTTCCTAAATTTCTTTCCAACTCTGATAACCATATCTAGAAGTTTGCAAAAAATTTTTGACCCTCACCCCCTGCCAGTTTCCCCCTCCTCCCCTTCCAGGTTGCGACAACTATTCTATATACACTTATAATTTTAGAAGTTAGGTCATTTAATGTTCATATTTAAGTATATATTTGCATTTGTAACATGATATATTTGTACTCATTGTTATTCATATAATTCTGTAGATTGCCTCCCGTAGATTTATCCTGATGAAGCTGACTGCGAAATGCATTGAAAGAAGAGGGCCAATTTATTGTTATATTATGTACACTAAGTGGCCAGTTTATTATGACCACCTGATGTTTGTAGGCAAATTAGCTATAATTTCGCACTGAAGTTGCTAGAGGGCCAGACCATTATAAATAGGGAAGCAGGTTGTTTACCACGACAGTAGAAGTGATTTTTTTCTGAAGATATGGGTAAACAACGCGATTTAACAGCCTTTGAACGTGGGAACAGCAGCTGTTGTTAAAGTGTATAAAGACAGGACTGTCAGCCGAAAATCTGGGTCTGAACGTGCGAATTGTGGCCGTCAGCGACTAGTCAATGTTAGGGCAGAACGGAGACTAGCAAGACTGGTACAAGACAATAGAAGGGCAACAGTGCATCAAATTACTGCATATCTTAATCAGGGATCCTCTCAAATGATCCCTGAACGCACTGTTCGCCGTACACTGCATCATATGGGATATGGAAGCCAAAGGCCTGTTCGAACACCTTTGCTGTCTGCAGTTAACAAGATAAAACGTCTCCAATTCGCACAGGAACACAAGGATTGGATAGTCGAGCATTGGAAAAAAGTCACGTGGTCCGATGAATCACGTTTCCAGTTGCATCATGCAGATGGCAGAGTGAGAATTTGGCGGAAACAGCATGAAAGCATACACCCCACATGCATGAGTACAAGCCTTCAAGCTGGTGGGGGCAGTGTTATGGTTTGGGGCATGTTTTCCTGGCATGATTTGGGCCCTTTAATTCGTGTGGAACAACGTCTGAATAGCACAACATACCAAAGTATCGTAATCATGGGGCCATTGTCGCAGGAGATAACCCAGTCTAACAGTGGATGGGAAGTGAAAAAATAGTCTATTCTACTATAGGAGTGATGCAGAGAACTGAGTGTAGTTCCCAGATTGAGGGTGTAAAACTCTCCAAGTGTCAATCAGGCGTAGGCGAGAGAGCTGTCCCCGGACCTTACGCAGTTTGGCAAAGGAAAAGGCAGCTCGGCTCGTGGACAAGTCAATACTGGGTTCCAAGGCCATGTTGAAATCCCCACCCACTATCACCATACCCTCCGCAAAAGCCTCCAGCTCCTTCAGGAGCCGGAGCGCGGATGCAGCCTGGTCAGTATTAGGGAGATAGAAGTTGGCAATGGTGTAGGTCCGACCCCAGAGTGACAGTTTGAGCCATTGATACCGTCCAAAGT